AAAATGTCTACCTACAAACATAAAATTTCCTGCTTTCTATTCATGCCTTTATCTTTTTGCATGTTGGCTTCTGCCACTCTAGCATTCCTTTGAGGTTAATTTTACTAGTGACCAATTATTTCTTGGGTGCTATCTCCAAGAGACATTATCATATTATGTAACAATGATCACTCCTTACTTAAAACAATATAGTCCACCCGTTCTTCATTTGGAAAAAAGGGGTGGGGTGTGGTGTGGTGTGGTGGGGGAGACACTACCAGCTGCTTTTCTCTTGCTGCTTCCAAACTGCCTGTTTATAGGTTGCTCTTCTTCTGCATTCTTAATGATCCTTAGCCTTAGAGAAATGTTAGCTTGGTCAAGGTCATACAACTAGTACATAGGAAAAGAGGTAGTCACACAGGTGAGTATAAATGCACAACTTTACACATATCCTACTGCCTATTACATTAAATGCATTTTAGGTTCAGTATCTGCTCCCTGACACAGTCACTTTAGATTATAAGCTTCTTGAAGGTAGGAGCACTCATCATTCCTCCCTAATGAATGTTTTCTGTTAAATCTTATTTAAAAAGAAATTTTATTAAGAATGTTTTATTTTACCTATCAACCCACATTGAGAAAATCAGTGTATGGGATGGTAACAGATAAAGATGTGTTTATTAAAGTCATATTGCTATTCAGAGGATTTCATGAAGATTTGCCTTAAAAGCACTCACCACTTTAAGTGAGCTTGAATTTCACAAGACCTAGTTTGCCTTTACTTTATGTAACATAAAAAGTGTAATCAAAATCAGGTGTTTTGGATCCAGCTATCAAATTCTGTATATTAGATCAGCGGTTCTCAACCTGTGGGTCGCGACCCCTTTGGGGGGTCAAATGACCTTTTTCACAAGGGTCGCCCAATTCATAACAGTAGCAAAATTATAGCTATGAAGTAGCAATGAAAATAATTTTATGGTTGGGAGGGACACAACATGAAGAACTGTATGAAAAGATCACAGCATTAGGAAGATTGAGAACCACTGGATTAGGTGGTATTACTCACATTACCCTATACTATAGGGTAAAACTGCCTCTGTGAGTTTCTGAGACTAACTCTTTACAGGAGTAGTCTTCTTTCTTCCATAGATCGGCTGGTGATGTAGGAACTGCTGACCTTGAGGTTAGCTGCCCAAAACATAACCACTGCACTCCTATATAGTGTCAAGCTCCTAGAATTTATACATACAGGCAGTCCCAAGGTTATGAACATCTGACTTATGCACAACCACCAAACCCTGTAAAACCTAATATTTATTTAAAAACTGAGGTAGTATAGTGGTTCCTAATAATTATGCTTTAATAGCATCAAAAATTGTAGTTGCTGCACTAATGTTGAAAATATTAGGGCATCCAAAAGTATTTGTTTTTTATACATAGGCAGGTATATTGTATGAGGGGATTTCATAGTTTGTAGATAGGATTAAAAGATAATGAACTTTTCCCACAAACTCTTTGAAGCCCCCTCCTATACAAAGATAAATACCTGACCAACTTAGAAACAAGCTGTACCTCACTGTTCCAATTTATGTACAGATTTTAACTTACCAAGGCAGGCTTCAGAACGGGACTACTTTGTAATCCAAGGACTACTTATATAGAGAGTAAGCACATACACTCTGTTGTAATACAGTAAGATTCTATGATCATACTTATATATATACTTGGACATATACATACAAATTCCTAGGTAGCACATAAGGTTTGCAGTCAAGGACTAGCCTAAAAGCTGGTGGTTCAAGGTTTGGAGATCTACATTCAAAAAGATGTCAAGAAGATCTGACAGAACAATTCCCTTAACACCTGAGGTCAACATGAGTCAGAATCTTCTCTATGGCCAACAGATTTTTTTGTTTTTATACTAAAAGTCTTACTCTTCCATCAGCACACTAATGTTCTTCCAATATAAAAGAAAATGATGTCTTGCTTTCTGATACATAGCTGTCTTTTGTTATCTTCGATTTGCTTAAGGCTTCTGCTTAAGCAAGTAAGTCACAGAAGTGAGTCACACAATTCTTAACTATTTGAAGGTTGTCAGTCATAATTGTCTATCAAAGATTCCCTGCTCCCGAGTGTGTGATCCTCCTGAGCATCAGAGTGCAATGGTAAATAATAGTAAAAAATAACTTGTACTTTATTCAGCATTTGCCTAGTGTTTTCTGTATTATATTGAGAAATTGCCAAGATAACCATATACTCACTGCTAAAAGTCTGACCAACATTTAAATTAGAAGAGCTTGCCCTTCAGAAACCTCCATGCCTTTTCATGTTCTCTCCTACAGAAATGTCTTTACAAAAAGTTATACACGTAGCATGTTTTACACTTATGTCAGTCCAAATTTCCTATCACTAGTCCTGTCCATCTAGAATTTTAGAGTAAACCATCACAAGTCCTGTCCATCTAGAATTTCCACTTGACATGACAGTTACCATCCTGTAGTCCCTTAACCTTTACAGAAAAGAAAAAAAATTTAAAGATCAACACTTATTGAGCATTTACAAAGGTCTTTTTAAAAAATGTTTAAGGTCTCTGGTAGTTATGTTAAACTTTTCAAAAGAACTGAATACAAATTGCACATATACAGAAGTTAAATTACACAGCAATTTCTTAGTAAGTACAGATCAGTAAACAAATTTCAGGGTATTATTTCACAATACTCCTTTAAATGAGTGTTCTTCTGATGCATATTCACATATTCAAAATGAAATATAATTATATGTGATATGGTGGTGGCACAGTGAGTTTATATGTTGGGTTACTAAGTGCAATGTCAGCAGTTTGAAACCACCATCTGCTCAGGGGTGCAAGGGAAGGCTTTCTACTCCCTTAAAGAGTTTCAGTCTTAGAAACCCACAGGAGCAGTGCTATCTGCCCTTTAAGGTCACTATGAGTGACACAGACTCAACGCATTTCCTTATTTTGGAGTTTATGTACTCTCGATGGACAAAATCCTACTGAAACACATGTACAGTGGAAGGAAAGATTAGTTCTGCCTGAAGGGGCTTCGTAGCTAAAACAGCTGAGTGGGTCCTGGAAGGACAATTCAGCTTTCTGGCTGCAGATGCCTCACATGTTTCTGGTCACAAAGAACCAAGGAAATAAAATTACCATATATACTCAAGTATAAGCCAACCCGAATATCAGCTGGGGCACCTAATTTTACCACAAAACTGCATTAAAAATGTGCTGAAAACTCAGCTTATTCACAAGTATATACGGTAGGTTGGCTAGCTAAGTCTTCAAACCACCCAGTCCTGAGATTTTTCCTTTAAAGATACAAACCCATTACTTTAAAAATCTAACTGAAATTCTAATATATAAAACAGATAAAAGTGGATCTGCTCTTTTGAAAAGAGGTTTATTGAATAACTTTTCTATTCTAATTAACTCTCTTCATTTTAAAAGAAGAAAGCTTAGACTCCAAGAGGGACAATTTGATCATAATGACAGAAATACAAAAACCTAGCTTATGGAAAGAACACTTTGGAAGCATCATCTCCTCTTTAAGTCTTCCCTAACTTTCTTCCCAGATGAAATTTATCATTCCTTACTTTATTTCCCAATAGAGTTAGTGCATTCTTCTAGGATAGCTTCTAGAAAACGTTGGTGCCCTGATTTTACTTTTTGTGTTTTGTCTGTGTTGTTCTGTTACATTGTTAAGTTCCTTGAAAGTAAATATTTCTAAATATCTTTGTATATCCAGTGCCCAGAATAAAATGTTACTTATTAAGGTATACTACACTAAATTTCAGATTTAAGATAGCTCAGCACCTGAAACACAGAGGGGATTAGTAAGTATCTGCCAACTAAACTTGCTGAAAATGAGTTCAGTGAATGAAATAAAATATCAAAAGGCGTTAGAACAGTATAATATAAAGTACATAATAAGAATTAGGTTATTTTTGTAGCCTCTTATGCAGGGGGAAGACAGTTATTGAACATTTTAATCTGGAAAGCAAAATCTTGGCACCTTTTATCAAGTTTATCATGCTCATTTATACATTACCAAAAAGCAAGCCCAACCATTAACAATCTCCTGACCCTGCGGTCTGAGTTGTGTACTGCCCCTCTCTAGATGTGGAGTGAAAGAAGAAATTGGACTAGTCTGAAACTTTAAATTCACTTTCTCAACCTGGATTTTTGGTCAAATGAGGTGGGGAGTAAAAAGATGGTTTCAACGTTTCTTTCCTGTTACAACACTGTAAAGCATTATAACAAACTGGGGCCTATAATCCTCCTTCACCTTTCCACTCAATGAATACGAACTTAGAAATTTATCATTTATTTCAGATACATTACAGTCTACATTCTGTGAAATAAGCTTCCTCTTCGGAGAGTAACTCAGGTAAGGAGTGAGCCACTAGTTAGAGATGTTTGGAGGTTTCCTATATAAATCTCAGAGGAGGTCAGCATTGGAAGAAACTAACGAGGTTTCCGGGGCTCACCCAACTGAGACCCCAGTCCTCTCCAACATACTCCTGGAAAGAGATCATCCAACTATTCTTGGGGTTAATTAACTCCATGGAGGCAATCCATTTCATCTTCTGCCAACTAGGATCCCAAGCGGGGCCCCTCAAAGCTTCGTGAATTTTAAATCTCCTTTCGCCAAATTTACAATCTGACTCCTTTGCCCTTTCCTCATAGCATCCTAGGACTAAGACACCCCCAACTAGCCGCCCTGCCTTCCTCCCAGGCAGCTCTATTCTGGCTCCAACGAATGTCCAAGCTACTCGAAAGGCCCTTCCCAGTCTGCCTGCGACAACTCCCTGTGAAGCCTCAGAGCTTCCCCTCGTCCAGGTGGCACCACCTGGAAGCCTCAACTGCCCTTAATCCCAACACCCCAGAAGCATGTGGGTTGGGACCCCTCGCTCCTTCCGCAGATAAGGAGACCCCAAGCTACGGCGGCGCCAGGAGAGGCGCCCGCACCCTACTTTCCGCAGCCCCACGCCACCTCCCTCACCGGTATTGCTTGGGGTCGCTGGGGGACTTGACGATCTCTGGGTCTCCGGCATTACTGACAGACCCCCTGCGTCCCTCCTCCTCAGACTCATCGGCTCCTAAGCCGGCAACCCGGCCGCTCTCGCCCACGTCCTCTCCATTGGGCTGCAGGTCCGGACAGCTGCAGGTCGACTTCGCCTTGTTCCTTCCAGGCATGGTCAGAGCACGAGAGGGTTTGGTGGCGGCAGAGTCTTCGCACCGTCCCCGCGCTTCGATTCTTCTCAGTGCTGCGAGCTCCCGCCCGGCCTCCCACCAGAACTTCTTCCCAGCGGCCCGCACTACTACAGCAACGGTGACTCTCCTCAGCATTCACCACCGGGCCGCCTCGCCGGGCATCCCTCTCCGCAGGGTCCTCCTCTTCCTCTGACTCCCTCAGCCGCTCCTCCTCCGCTTTACAGAGGCGGTGGCGGCCGGCGCTGGTGCTGCCGAGGCCGCTGAGGAGGACAGGCCTGAGCTCCTCCCCCAACCCGGTCTCCCTCACGCCAACTTCCTCCCTTCCCGGCCTCCTCCCAGTTGCCGATGACGCGTCTGATTTTAGCCAATCATAAAGCAAGACAGCAGACAAGCGCACATGAACAACCAATGGAAAAAGGGACGAAGGGGAACGGAAGGGGCCGGGCCGGATTCTGGGAGCGCCCAGCAAGCTCTTGGAAACGAAGGGTGGGCGGGGAGTCAAAAGGGCAGAAGAGGCGGGGAATGGAGCGGAGGACGACGGGAGAAGCGCTCCAAGGCGGCTGCGCAGCATTTATGACGTGTAAGGGGAGTTGGCTGAAGGCGGCTTCCGTTTGAGAGAAAACTATTCTACGGCAGAGAACACGCCCTAGCTGAGAACTTCGATTGGCGCGTGCAGACAATGCTTCCCACTACTACACACACACCCCCATTTGTGGTGTGTTTTGTGCACTTTTCCCCTCAGACTCGGAGCGGAACCTTCGGGCGTGGCTTAACGCGGGAAAACGCGAACAGCGTTAGTTGCCCGGCCCGGCCGGGCGGATGCTATTCTGGAGCTGACCTGAGGTGAGCGCCGGAAATAGCTACGGTCCTTCTCCAGTAGCTCTGGCTAACCCTCCTGTTGGTCGCCCTTGGTACCTAAAAAAACCCGAAGCCGGACTCGTGCCATCGCATCGAATCGATGGCGACTCCACCAAAGCACTTTAAACTTGTGTCTATTAATGTTGCTCTACCAACGTTTATTGAACAGCGACCGTGGGTCAAGTTCTTGCCCCAAGTACCCATTTCCAGACTTTGATGAACAGTCTTCTAAACTGTGACCGACACGTGAAGAACACATTTCTTTGACATATGTCAAAAACATCTTGAGGGAAGGTACTTGGGCACATAGGAGATATATGTGACTAAATGGAGGAAAAACTTGAAGCAGGAGATATGTTTGGGGCTGTTCCAAGTTTGTTACAAATGTCTGGTTCAGCACCTATCAGCCTACAAATCTCAAACTTACACATCTCTGACTTAGATGTCCTTTGTTCTCCAGATACAGGAAATAGGATGAACAAAACAAATACGCTTTCTTGGAGCTTGCATTCTAGTGTGAAAAAAATGGTAAAATAAACACTTAAGTTGTTTTTAGGTGTCCAATCAGTTCCAACTCAAAGCGACCTTAAGGTACAACAGAAGGAAACACCATCCTCACAATTGTTACTGTGTTTGAGACCATTGTTGCAACCAGAAGATAGATATCTTCTCAAGGGTCTTCCTCTTTTTCACTGCCCCTCCAGTTTACCAAGCATGATGTCCTTTTCCAAGGATTGGTCTCTCCTGATAACATGTCCAACGTAGTATATAAGTAATAGTATAGTCAAAAGCTACAAATGCTATGAAGACAAAATGTGTGATAAGGATAAGGAGCTGGAAAGTTTTAAAATATTTTGTTAATTGAAAAAGGATGAGTTGGAGAGAGGGAAGCAATGATGAAAATCTGAACTAGAGTAGTAGTTGAGGTGAATTAGCTGAGGAAGAAAAAATCAGTATCTCAGGTTAAACTTCCAATTATCCTTTCAAGAAGCTATCATTTTTCACAAGGAACTCCCATTAGACTGATTTTCTTCAGAACAGTGCTTTTTCTTTGTATTTCTAGTAGCATAGCTTCTCACTACATAGTTAAGCAGTCAGGCAGTAAATGTTGAATAAATACATGAAATGACATACTATAATCTGTACTTTGAGTTTGTTGCTTTCTTTTATGGTTCAAAGCAGCAATGCCGTACATTCTTAAGAAATCTTCAAATTCAGCCAGTCATTAAAATTCTCTAAGTAGACATAGTAAGAGGCTACATCCTTACTATGATCTGTTAATATGTCCCTTTTAAAAAGATGTTTCTGAATCTTACAGAAAGGATCAACAGGCTACAGAAATATGATAAAGCTCCATAGAGAGGCATTAATTTACTCATTCAAGCAACAACTATGTAGTGAGCTCTGAGTAGGTGCCAGACACTGGGAATAGAGTGTGGAACTTACAAAAGACCTGATGGGAGAGATGGATATTAAACAAGCATAAGTTTTTGTTTTTAATCATTGTAAATCCTTCTAGAAGGAGCAATATGAAAGAAGTTAGAGTAGTCAAGAGAGTGCCTCTTTGGGGGGGGGAGATATTTAAGCTAGCATTTGAGGATATATAGAAATAATTTATAAGAAATCATTCTATATAGAAATTATTTCTAGAAGAGTGTATAAGAATAGAGTTGTTCTTATGCTCACCTTCCCAACACGATCGCTGAAGGCAATTGGGTGCATAAGCAAATGTGAAGAAAGCTTATGGTGCCCGGCTATCAAAAGATAGTGTCTGGGATCTTAAAGGCTTGAAGGCAAACAATCGGCCATCTAGCTCAGAAGCAACAAAGCCCACATGGAAAAAGCACACCAGCCTATGTGATCACGAGGTGTCAAAGGGATCAGGTATCAAGGTATCGGGCATCAAAGAACAAAAAATCTTATCATTGTGAATGAGGGAGAATGCTGAGTGGAGACCCAAAGCCCATCTGTAGGCAACTGGACATTCGCTTATAGAAGGGTCCCAGGGAGGAAATGGTGCAGTGTAGCAATGATGAAACACAACTTTCCTCTAGTTCTTAAATGCTTCCTCCCCACCCCCCCACCCCGCACCCTCCCACTATCATGATCCCAATTCTGCCTTACAAATCTGGCTAGACCAGAGGGTGTACACTGGTACAGATAGGAACTGGAAACACAAGGAATCCAGGACAGGTGAACCCTTCAGCATCAGTGCTGAGATAGGCGATCCCGGGAGGGTGGAGGGAAGGTGAGATAGAAAGGGGGAACTAATTACAAGGATCTATATATAACCTCCTCCCTGGGGGGTGGACAACAGAAAAGGGGGTGAAGGGAGATGCCAGACAGTATAAGCTATGACAAAATAATAATTTATAAATTATCAAGGGTTCATGAGGGTGGGGAGACGGGGGAAGGAGGAGGAAAATGAGGAGCTGATACCAAGGGCTCAAGTAGAAAGCAAATGTTTTGAGAATGATGAGGGCAACAAATGTACAAATATTCTTGACACAATGGATGTATGTATGGATTGTGATAATAGTTGTATGAGCCCCCAATAAAATGATTTTTAATAAAAATAAAAACACCCTAAAAACAAAGAATAGAGTTGTTCAAGGCTGTGAAAAGTGGACTTATATGTCTAAGCTATTGTAAGCTTGGAACAATGAATTATGGTATTAGTGGCCAAGATCTTATAAAATATTCCTAAGAATAAAAAGTCACTGCTTTTCCTGTTTTGTATATCACAGGATTCACAACATCCAGAACAATGTCTGTCACATTATAGGTACTTGATAATGATTGAACAAATGAAAGGGGGAAGACATAACTACAAGTGTTTACAGCTAATTTGTGAAATGTGAATCAGATGTTGGAGGGAGGGAACAAAACTTCAAGAGAAAAGTTAGGAGGCTATTAAAGTAATTTATAACTTAGTTTTGAAACATGAATATACAGATTGAGACATAATGTATGTAGAAAGTGGGGGTTGGATAGTGATTTCTTTGATGGGGTGGGAGATGAAAAAGACAGAATTCTGAGTAGACAGATGATGATGACAATATCTCTAATTCATTGTTAGAATGTCCTACTGACATAGAAGCAAATTCTGGAGAAGACGCTTAGCTCAGTTTGGGACATGTTGAGTCATCTGTAAGCCACCACATGAAGATCAGTTCTGGAGCTCAGAGAAGAGGCCTAAGTTTTAGATGTAAATTTGAGGTCTATTGGCTTGTAGGTGGTAATCAAAAATCTATTGACTGGCACTGAAGTGGAAGGAGAAAAAAAGCCCCAGGACTGAGCCTCAGAGAACTTGTGGAAGTAAAAGAATCCTCACAAGAATTTAAGAAGGAAAATGAAGTTGGTAGGTGGAAAGCCAGAGAATGTAATGTCACTTTTTAAAAATGAAATTCTGATCCCATCATAAATATAAGAAATAGCTGATTCCGTGTATAAAAGTTCACATCTGGAAAGACACCACAGAGTTACTTACTCTAGTTTATCTACATCAGATAGCAAGATAAAGACCTACTGAAGTGAAGTCCACCAGCGACTTAAGGCACAGTCAAACTTCCAAGCTAGAATTAGTGTTTTCCACTGAAAATAAATTTAGAAATTGCAACACTCCATTTGAGCACTTATATTTATTGCAGAGAGTATTCCTTAGGAAAGAAGAAACAAACAGTTACCATTCTTTAAGAAATTGGCATACTAGAAAATAAGATCTTGAGATGTCCAAGAAAGTTAAAGACTATGAATTTTCATTTATAAACTATTCACCTAAATTCTTTTAGAATATTTAAATGTTTAGGTTATTTTCCCATCTTTATTCCAACTTTAAAATTAAAGGTACCCTTTAACTCTTCCCATCATAGCAACCCTACAGGGCAGACTAGAACTGCCCCTGTGGGTTTCCAAAGCTGTAAATCTTTATGGGAGCAGAAATCATCTTTCTCCCATGGAGTGGCTGGTAGATTCAAACTTGTAATCCACTATGTCACCAACCCTTACCATTTTTACTTTAAGGATTTCCCTCTCATCAAATGTGATGACTCATCTCTCCCTACAATGTTGGTAAGGGTCATAAATTACAGAAATTAAAAACCTATCACTTCTGTTAGAAGCCTACCTCTGAAACTTATTTTAGACAATACAGTGTCTGTCTACCTCCCAGAGTGACAAATCTGAGGGTTGTGCCTAAAAATTCAAAGGTAAATTACTCATAACCCCATTCTCCACTTCTTTTTTTTTTTAATCATTTTATTAGGGGCTCATACAACTCATCACAATCCATACATACATCAATTGTGTAAAGCGCATTTGTACATTCATTGCCCTCATCATTCTCAAAACATTTCCTCTCCACTTAAGCCCCCCGCATTAGGTCCTCATTTTTCCCCTCCCTCCCTGCTCCCCCCTCCCTCATGAGCCCTTGATAATTTAGAAATTATTATTTTGTCATATCTTGCCCTGTCCGACGTCTCCCTTCACCCACTTTTCGGTTGTCTGTCCCCCAGGGAGGAGGTCACATATAGTTCCTTGTAATCGGTTCCCTCTTTCCAACCCACTCTCCCTCTACCCTCCCAGTATCGCCACTCACACCACTGGTCCTGTAGGGATCTTCTGCCCTGTATTCCCTGTATTTCCAGTTCCTGTCTGTACCAGTGTACATCCTCTGGTCTAGCCAGACTTGCAAGGTAGAATTCGTATCATGATAGTGGGAGCGGGGAGGAAACATTTAGGAACTAGAGGAAAGTTGTATTTTTCATCGTTGCTACATTGCACCCTGACTGGCTCGTCTCCTCCCTGAGACCCCTCTGCAAGGGGATCTCCAGTGGCCTACTCATGGGCTTTTCTCCACTTCTTTATACTTAAAAATCAGATTAAATCAGGAATATTGATTACAGGTTAGATAAATTGGGAGTGGTGTGAGTTCATTAACGTCTCCAGCCCAGAATTATCTCCCTTACATTTTAATTCTTCCATTAGTGATTGATTTTCCTCCCTGGAATGCTCCTTAAATTCCAGTAACACCCTTGGAAGGAGTGAAAAATTAACACCATTTTATGAATGGATTTATTTTACTTCCTCTTTTTGAAGCAAACACTGGACAACTTGAGATAACCATGAGCCTGGGGTGGTTGAAGAGGCTGGTAATTGTGATGGAAGGAATAAAAAGAAGAGAAATCTAGGTCACAATGCTGTCCACAACCCACACTCTACGAAATTATACCTTTGGTGTTCTAGTCATTAAGTGTTGCACCCATTCATTGCTCTCTGTATTTGAAAAATTTGTATCTAGGTCAAGAAGCAGGAATGTTTCTAATGGAGTACTTCTTTTGAAAGGCCAAGTACGTTCACAACAAACTAACCACTTTATGTGACTATAAAAACATATTTATATCTTTAAAAACCTGTCAAGTCAATTCTAACTACAGGTCAGAGTAGAACTGCTTGATATGCTTTGCAAGGCTTTATATCTTTCCCCCTCAGAGCCGCTGGTGAGTTTGAAATGATGAGTTCTGGTTAGCAATCCCAACATTTAACTCACTATTCCATCAGGGCTCCTCACATTTCTGCTTACAAGGCATACTCCTTTAGAAAGAATTTAGGAATCCAGGTAGTACAAGTAGTTGGCATTTAGCTACTGGTCTAAAGGTTGGTGGTTCAGCAGTACCACAGAAAAAAGGCCAGGCAATTTGCTCCCATAAAGATTACAAACAAGTGCCTACTTCAGTAGCACCTATACTAAAATGGGAACAATATAGAGAAGCATGGTCCCTGCACAAGAATGACATGCAAATACATGAAGTGTTTGTGGTTGTTTTGTAGAAAAACCCAGACTCAACAAGAAAATGGTTGAAAATAATTAAAAGACTTGGTAATGTGGCAGGCTACAAGATTAACATACAAAAATCACTTGGATTCCTCTGTAGTAACAAAGAGAGCTCTGAAAAAGAAATCAAGAAAATAATGACATTTACAGTAGCCACACACAAAATGAAATACCTAGGAATAAACCTAACCAGAAAAACAAAAGACGAATACAAAGAAAAGTATAAAATACTACAAAAAGAGAGAGAGAGAGAGAGACCTATGTAAATGGAAGAATATTCCATGTTCATGGTTAGGAAGACTTAACATTGTGAAAATGTCAATATGACCCAAAGCAATCTATAAATACAAGGGAGTAAGCCCCCAAAAAACAGAATTGTGCTGGGCGGAGCAGAGCTTTCGTAGTATGCATCCACCCGTCCGCTAGGCGAGCATGGAGCAACTCACTCTGAGATAGTGCACCCAGTGGCATCACCTGGGAAGATTCTCTCTGGTCACAGTGAATTTTTTCATAAAAGCCAGTTTTATCCTGTCCTATATGATCACTACGAATCCACATCAACTCGATGGGGAGTTTGCTTTTTGTTTGTGTAGGGGTGCAAAAGACATCTTTAGAGTTTTGAAAAGCAAGAATGTTACTTTGAGTGTGCCTGACTCAAGCTATGGTAGTTTCAATGGCTCCATATACATGTAAAAGTTGAACACTAAATAAGGAATACCAAAGAAGAGTTAATGCATTTGAACTGCGATGCTGGAATATTGAAAGTACCATGGACTGCCAAAAGGACAAACAAGTCTATTTTGGAAGAAGTACAGCCAGTGTACTCCTAGAGGCAAGGATGGCAAGGCTTTGTCTTACATTCTTTGGACATGTTGACAGTATAAAGCAATCCCTGGAAAAGGACATCATTCAGTAAAGTACAGGACTAGTGAAAAAGAGGAAGGCCCACAACAAGATGGCTTGACACAGTGGCTGCATCAATGGACTCAAGCATGAGAACAATTGTGAAGATGGCAGAGGTCCGGGCAGTATTTCATTCCCTTGTGCATAGGGTCTCTGGGTTGGAACCAACTCGATGGCACCTATCAACAGCAATAACAATGACTGGGAGTGGAAGAGAGGAAGGAGAAAATAATAAGGTAGACAGGAGCTAATTTGGTGAAGGTGACAATAATTCAACATTCACTGCCATCAAATGAGAGGACAGAGTAGAGATGCTCCTCTGGGTTTCTGAGACTACAACTTTACAGAAGTAGAACGCTTCATCTTTCTCTGGAGCTGTGACTGGTGGCTTCAGACTGCTGACCTTGAGAGCAGCATATCCAACCAAAGAGAGCCGGGGAAAAGGGGGTCAGTAGAGCAAGTTATTGATAGACTTGATAATTTGTTAAAATAGAAAACAAAATTTTGATCTGATATAGAAACCACCACCTAATTCACAACATAAAATTTTGTTTTGTTTTGTCTTTCAAGATTACAGTCAAGAACTGTCCATGGAACAGCTCTACTCTGTAGCCATGAGTCAGCAGCTGACTCAGTAGTAGCTAACAATAACAATTTGGTATTCAAACTTCAAAATAAATTTGAGTGACTCTGAAAAATACTTAATGTCAAATGAAAGCTTATTTTATCTCAAATCCAACTAAGTGCTCTTCATCTCAGCTCTGAAGACACAAATTTAGAGACCCTTGCTTGAGTAAGAAAGTGTAGAAACACAAAATGATTTCTAAAATTATAAATTAGGTCATATCACTCCCTGTCTTTCTTTTCACACTTGTAATAAAATATATTTGCTTGCTATGGCTAATAAGGTTCAGTGATTTGTCTGTCTACAGTTACAACCTCATCTACCGTTCTACACTTTACTCCAGAACGGGGCCTTTCCTAATGTCCTTCACACACTTAGGTGGTCTGCCTTTGTCCCATGACTTCTGCTCCTCTGCCTGGACTGTTCTTCCCTCAGACTTTTCTTAATCTTTCTTTTCTTGATTTTCTTAATGAGTCCTTCTCATTAGTCGTAGTTCAGCTTAAATGTCACCCATTAAGAGAGGCCTTCTGATGAGGGCAACGAATGTACAAATGTGCTTGATACAATTGATGAATGTATGGATTGTGATGAGTTGTATGAGCTCCCAATAAAACTATTTAATAAAAAAAAGAGGGGCCTTCTTTGAGAATTCTATCTAAAATAGTACCCACTGCCTAAAACTATATTATTTCTTTGTTTATTAGTTTATTGTCTACATACCTATCTCTGCTGTAAGAGTTGGAACTCTGTCTTTCTTATACTTCTCCATATACTCAGAATCAAAAACAGTGACTGGTATATGGTGGGTTGTGGTTGGAGGGGCCACCCCACAACTCATCTCCGGTTTGATAGGTACAATTGTATGGTTGAGATATATAAATATTATATTAAAGTCATACGGAGCATGAGAGATAGAAGAGAGATTGAAATAATGGAGTCAGACACATTTCATGGTACCATGCTCACCTCAGCCCTGCTTGGTGGTCCATGTAGAGAGAGGGGGAGGGGAAGGAGAACAAAGGGAAAGTGAACACGGGAGGGAGCGAGGACGGGAGAGGAAAGGGGAACTGACAAGAGGCCAAGAGGGGTGCCCATGAAAGCTCTTTATTGCTAACCCTGGCCTATATCCCTTTGGGGGGAGTGCAAACCCACTAATTACAGGTAAAGATATACGTCGCAGGTAGGGGTTGCACTATAGGTTATACAGCAATGAGAGGGGGACAATCAAGGGATATACACGCAATAGGAAGAGGAGGGAATGGGGGTATACATGTGACAAGAAGCGGGGGGGATCCTAGATTCAGGATGGCAGCCTAACTTTGGATGTCACTGAGCAGGTTTGCCTTTAGGGAGAAGTAGCCCATTGTTCATAACAGCAGGGAGCGGGGCCTACTTGTAGTCTGGTAACTGACTGCCTTCAAGGAGGTAACTTGACAATCATTTATCATTAGCTGCAAGCAGTGTCCTAAGTCTAACATATATTTGGGAGAGATGACCTGGGAGAAATCTTTCTGTTTCCCACAGTGGGTATTCAATAATTACTTGTTGAATGAATGAATGAATGAATGAATGGTACCAAAAGAGGGGGCATTTGATGTTGTCAAGTTTGATGTTGAGACAGAGAGAGAGGTTAGTCTTAGAGGGGATCTTTTATTATTGGGCCTGGGAGAAAGGACACAGGTGCAGCTGCATGCAGCAAAGATTTTAAATGGTGTTAGGGGAGGAAAGAGCAGGAATTTAAGAGTCCCTGTCTGAAAGCCCCCGGCCTCCATTTTCTCTTTGAAATATGATATGAACATCACATGAAATGTGTGATACAGTACCTGGAATAAGAGAGTTTTAAAGACAAGCCTGGTAGCTTTCCTGTCCAGAGTAACTGTAACTCTTTGTACAAAGTTTACTTGTATTAACTAATTTACTACAACCTATGTCTTACTCTCCCTCAAAAAGGTTAAATAACTTGCACAAAATTGCACAGCATGTAAATTAGCTACCAAAATTACAAACCATGTGTATCTCACTCCCAAAATTATATTCTTTCATCTTTTACATGCTGGTTATCAAGTGCCTAGAATAAACAAACTCTTGATCATTAATTTGATCACGGTTTCCAGTTATGACTAATCACAGTCTAGTCTTTAAATGCAATATACAAAGTAGTAAATGCCATAATTAACATATCTCAGAAAGAAAATTCATAACTATCATTGAGAGAACATCTGGTTCTCTGCTTGTCTTCTGTATGAATAGCTATGTCTAACAACTATGAGGTGGTGGTAAGCAAACTGGGGACCTGCTCCCAGGTTGTAGAGGAGCAGTCTGATGAAAGGAGTTGGAGCATGACCGGTATGAGGAAGGCAACCATGTGAGATAATAATGCAGAGTGTCAGCTCAAGCGGAATGAAGACAGCAGGGTGGGAAAACATGAGTAAGAGACCAGTGACAATAGGAGGGTGATTAGATACAAGGATGATTTCTTAAAGAAGTAAAGATATTGAGGCTATTGGTAGCCAAGTTTCTCACTATAGGGAAAGGGAGCTACAGATATGGAAAGGGTGGAAATTAGATTGAACTCTATGGTTCTGGACTTAGAATTGGAGTTATCAAGGTAAACTCATCGTTTTCTCTAGATAGATATCAAACCAAATATGGATGTGGATGCATGTGAGTGTGTGTACATCATTATGTGAATCTGTATACATGCAGAAAATATCCTTATTTGTGAGAGTCATGTTCTATAAAGTCACCACACACTGAATTAGCAAATACTAAGCCATTGCTTCTAGGAAAAACACTGGGGTAGGTTTCTGGGACTTTCTGTGTGTCTTAAGCTAGGTTTTTAGAGGGGAAAAAACAGTGAAGCTTATAGATGCACATAGAGAGGTTTGTATCAAGAAAATGATTCATGCAGTTACAGAGGCAGGCAAGTGCAAAATCCGTGGGTCAGGTGTCAGGCTGGAGATGTCTGACTCACATAGCTACAGGAGCTGATCAGTAGGTGAGACAGCAGGCTTCTGACTGCAGAGTTGAATGTATCAAAAGTTAGCAAGTAAAATGTCTGGCTGTTAAGAATTCCGAGAATCACCAGGCATTATAGCAGGCTGGTCCCTCAAGTCCAAAGAACTGGAGGTCAGATGATGACCAAGAAGCAGGATCTGGATCCAATAAAAAAGCAACCAACCAAGTTTTTCCACAGGAAGCATTTATATTAGAAGCAGGCCACACCCCCAAGGAGAATCCATCAGGGAAGGTTACTATAACTTAATACCAAACCACTGAGAATTCTGACTCAGTCGAGTGGACACAAAACCTTAGTTATCACACTCTGCTTACATTTTTGTCAACTGATCAGTAATATAACTTTGTTTGACCTTACAATAATATAACTTTGTGTTTCTGTGTTAAGACAATTTAATATATACTGTAAATTCATTAACATATTTAACGTGTTATTCCACAAGG